CGTTCCAAAACTTTATTATCTTAACAAAGAAGGAATATTAATAACAATTTAATTTTGGGAGTTTGGCTTGTACCTTATATTGATATTTGGATCTCGTCTTAGTGCTGAAGACTTCTTCAAGAAACGACTCTCAATAGCTAAATATTCAACTACGGAGTTAAAATTCAAATCTTAATAACTAACTCGAGGATTTTAACTCTGATAAACCTGAGCCACGCAACAGAGCTGAATAATGAATGCGACGTCAGAGGGTATGCTGTCAACAACGCAGGCTCAAAAGTCCTAGGTCTAAAATTTTAGCGAAATTAGTGGAAAGTAATAAGGGCTGTCTTTAAAAACCTAGGAACTCTCTTTTCGTCGAAGGCACTTTCCTATTTCAAGAGGTTTTAACGAGAAAATTAATTTTTGAACATTTTTAGGGGGTGCACCAAGTTTTTGGAGGTTGTTCTGTAAAAGAAAAGCGGCAAGGAAAACGACGCCTCGAAGCAACAGAAATCAACCATGAGAACGACTCAAGGGCGCTTTCCGTTTGACCAAAATTTTCGAGATTTCCGGTCTGAAATCGAATGGAACGGGAAAAGTTCCAGGATAAGTTTTCGAAAATTTAGGAATACGTTTGAGTGTACCCTCTTGGATACGGTCGGACGCGTTCCATTCGGCCAGCGAAAATACCGACATTTTGAACCCGTGATTTTCGTTGAATGGAAAGCGCCCAAAGTCCGGGTTTCCGCGGCAAAACCTAACGCATCTAACGGGCATACGTTATTCAGCTCTGTCGAGCCAAGCGCAAACGGTAGAGACTACAGGCATTATTACCAGCGGTCGCACACTAAAGAAACTTTAAGACGAAATAATGTTAACTCAGCATGGCGGGCATGTGGAAGTTAGCTGGACCTCTGTCGACTGTAGCTACAGGTGCTGGTGGCATTTTCTTGTTGAGAAACTACTTCGCTGGAGGAGTTTGTCACAGTAAAGCGAAACTACATGGTAAGACAGTAATCGTCACAGGAGCAAACACAGGAATAGGGCGAGAAACAGCCTTAGATCTCGCCCAGAGGGGCGCCCGGGTGATCCTGGCTTGCCGAGACCTCGACAAGGCAAACGCTGCTGCTAATGAAATACGAAAAACAACAGGAAATGACAAGGTCTTCGTGAAAGAACTCGACCTTGCTTCGCTCAAGTCTGTGAGAAAATTCGCGGAGGAATTCCACCAAACTGAAGATCGACTGGACATTCTTATCAATAATGCAGGCATCATGCGTTGTCCATATTGGAAAACAGAAGATGCCTTTGAGATGCAACTCGGCGTCAATCACTTGGGCCACTTCCTTCTTACAAATCTTATGTTAGATATGCTGGAAAGATCGCAGCCAAGTCGCATCATAAATGTCAGCTCTCTAGCGCACGTGAGAGGGAAAATACGCTTTGATGATTTGCAAAGTGAACAAGAGTACAGCCCAGGTTCTGCCTACTCACAGAGTAAACTTGCTAATGTCTTGTTCACTCGCGAACTGAGCAAACGGCTGGATGATACCGATATTTTAGTCGCTGCTGTACACCCTGGTGTTGTGAAAACCGAATTGGGTCGTCACACATCTTTTGCGAAGTCCAAACTCGCAGGTTTGATTTTGGCACCTCTCGCTTGGCTTTTTTTCAAAACTTCTCTTCAGGGAGCACAAACAACAATTCATTGCGCCGTGGCAGATGATGTAGAGTCTGGACTGTATTACAGTGACTGCAAGCCTAAGGAACCGGCGGCTCAGGGAAAAGATGATGGAGCAGCCAAAAAACTGTGGGAAGTTAGTGCACATTTGGTTGGTCTAGAAAAAACTATTTGAAAGCGTGCATCCATGCAGTGACACTACTTACAAAGTAAAATGCTTTTTATTAAGCTTTAAATATCTTGAAAATGTAGAACATTTTGTTGCTGTGACAGGTGCACCACAAGACATATGTTTAACTCTTAACTCCAAGGAATGACCAAAAAAGAAAATTTTCTTTTCAGTTTCAGTATGTTTTCTTCATGAAAAGGGATGTGAGAAGAAATCAAAATATTAGTTGGCAATATAGAATGAGTTAACAACAAATTCTTAGAGTTAAAATGGTAAAAAATGTATGCTAGACAATACAGAGAATTTATATATCAATCTTCAGAGTGAAATAGTTAATTTAAGATGACCCAGATAGTGTGACAGTGAAGTGAGGAATTCTCTCATGTTATGTTTCTATTTCACTATAGCTCAGGTTATCAAAGAGCTGGCATGATCCTGGAGTTTAATTTTTTTTTTCTGTTAACTTCTGTGCACCTCCGTTCAGAGGTAGTGTGTGACCTGCTGGGCAGTCATCTTTTTTTTGTGTTTTTAGATGAGCAGAGGTAAGTGCAAAATGGGTGGGGTGGGTAAGTCAGATGTCTCACCCCCCTCTCCTGTTAGACCCACCCTATATGCTTGCCAATGCTTTACGAAAAATGCTGTAAGAGGGAGAAGCTTGTTGTGCCATTTTACAACAGAGTGATCCATTACCTTTTTCAAAGTTTTTGAGATTTTATTGCTAATCACACTCAAATGACAAAAATGTATATTTATTTTGAATATGTAAATCAACTTTACTTTCTTTGTTTATTGGAATATTTTTTTGCAAATGTTAGTAAATATCTTTAAATTACAATTACTATTTTTAAAATATTTCCATCTCCAACATTATTTTTATAATAATTCTAACATCTAGTTAGCTTTCCTATTACTACTTCACCGGTGAACCAGATATATGTGACAATTGGAAGGAAAGTGAATGGAACACAGTCTGCTGAGGTATATTAACCCACCCTGCTGAGGTATTTTAACCCACCCTGCTGAGGTATATTAACCCATTAGTTCCCAAGATATAATTGTTGATTCTCTCCTTTAGCTGCTGTATATTTCCTCGTAAGTTAGTTATGAGAATTTGGTTTAAGATTGAGATAGCTTGTACCTGATAAGTTTAAGTATTCTCATTACCTGTTTCCTGGATAATGTATGGATATTACAAAGAGAAATTACTTGTAAATCACTTCAGGGAGTTAAAGGATCAACAAGAAAATTGAGCTCTGCACATCAAGCTGGTCATTTTTTGTCTGTTAACTCTATTATATTAATAATATTATTATATTAATAATATTATTATATTAATATTATTATATTAATAATATTATATTAATAATGTGTGTTCTGGAAAATAAAAGAAATAAATTGTGATTTTGTAGTGTAACAGGTATCAGAAGATTTGCATTTTACACTTGTCACTAACCCTGCTCCTTCAAGTGCTGAAGTGACAGCTACAGAAGTGGGGATTAAATGACCTTAACTGCTCCAGTGCCATAGATAGCTTGCCTACCTAATGGCCATTTCTTTAAATAAAGTTAATGGCTTAAATGAACTATTCATTGCTATCCCAATTATCTCTATCACTGCAACAAGGTTGGGTTTCTTTAATATAATATTAAAGAAGAGTGTCTTTTTACATTTATCATTCCCCTGTCCAAACCCAGGCCTATTTCCTGTTTTCCTAGAAGGATCTCTTTTTTGAAGACTGCAATACTCAAAACTCTATCTAATGTTGAAAGTAAGCTTGTCTCGAACAAGAGGAGGCATTAACAAGCATATCTAAGTAAAGAATTAAATTCACTGTTAAGTTTCTCATTATCGTCCCCATTGTTGTGAATTACAAAATCGAATTTTTCATCATCTAGACCGCATTCAGATTCAGCATCATCAACACCAGCAGTAAATACCCAACCTCTTGATTTTCTTACGTCTTCTAAAGCAACAATCCGAACGTGTAAAACTTTATCGTAGTTCGTTTTAAAATAATTTACGTCCGATTTTCTCCGAGCATCAGATATTATCCACACGGGCTTTTGAACTGTTCGACTTTCTTCAGGGGTTGCAGAGGACACCATTTTTGTCACTAATTTGCAGAAGTATGAGGGATCTATCCTTCTCTTCTCTTCTCCCCAGCGGATCATATCTTGACGATAAAATTCCTTGTAAGTTGTTGAATCAAGTAGGCGACCAAAATCAAGTCCATGTTGTTGGGCGTATTCATATTTCAGCGGTCCAGAAAGCCTTATTATCTCGCATATATCGTGCCTAAATGTTTCTTTTAGTTTATTAGCTACAAAATCTTTTCCTGATTTTCGCTTTCCGCTTAAAATGAAGATAACTTTTGGTACATGTTGTTGGTCACTAACGTCCGCCATCTTGAACATCTTCTAAAATTGGACACCGCTGACTCATGAGAGCTCGCACCAGCTCTCCCTCTCTAACCAACATGGCCGGCGTGTTGGACATGTCTCAGTACACCATTTCAAGGGAAGTCGATGTAAATCTTCTGGATTGTAGAACAGCTTTTTCTGGGCTGACAGAGAAAGAAAAGCACTACGCTCATTTCTTGTGTCGTGCCTCATGGGAAGGTGCTCTTATTTGTTTGCTCCAAACGTCGCCGGAATCTCCTGGAATTTTTCTTCTTCTACAAGAATTGTTCCAAGAAGAATCTGTGGAGGAACTCAAAGAGAGAGTTTTAAAATCCGAAAATGGCCCCTCCAAGGAAGAACTTGAGGTAATGCAAATGGTTCAGAGCTACTTCATGGAATAATTCTACTATTTGATTAAAAAGTGAATCAGGAATTGATCTTAAATGAATGAACTTTTAACTCCATGGGTAACCAAAATAAAATTTCTACATACAATATCGATACAATATCGATACAATATCAAAAATACAAGTGATGAGAATAAAGAAAATGTAAATTGGGGGATTATTAGATGATCCAATACCAAGTTCTCAGGATTAACATCATGAGAGCTGTATGACAGACAGTAAGAAGAATTGCTAATGAGATCTAGGGTCTTGAAGTGCACTTTTCGATACTTTTTTTTTTTCACAATAGAAAGAACTGCCTGTTTTTCATACAGGAATTTTTGTACCCAATTAAAGTGTCTTTAGAGCTTTTTAACCACTCTTGGTGTTGCAAGTAACTTACCTAGTAAATTTTAATGTCTTTATTTTCTCATTGGTTTTGCAGAGTTTTCTAATTTATGCTGCAGCATTCTATGGCAATGTTGGAAACTACAAATCATTTGGTGACACCAAATTTGTTCCAGATTTACCAAAGGTATCCTAATTTTGACCTATCAACTTGCTGCTTCTAGAATCTTTTTCGAGATTTCTGGTGCGGAGTTAGAGCAAAAACTCTTGATTAATAGTTTTTGCCCAACTATTTTTTGACTGTTTGTTTGCAATCCTTCAGGAAAAACTGGAAAGTGTAGTTTTCTCAAGTAAAGCCTATGAAAAAAATGCCAAAAGGGTTGAGCAACTGTGGAGTGACTGTGGAGATATGATGTATTCGCTTACCTCCAAATCTCGACAGCTTGGTCTTGGTGAGCAGGTAAGTGATATCTTTTGAACCAGTCTCGCAATTTTGCAGTATCTGTCTAGATGTGCCTTCTGGTAGGAGAAGCTCAGGTCTGGTCATTGTGTTATATTCTTGGCTGAATGATTTGCTTCACTCTCATGGTGCCTCTCTTTACCAAGGAGTACAAATTTTATCTATGATGCAGTTATTTGATAGGAAGAAATGAGAAAATGCTATAATTGTAGAGTTAGATTGTACCTGCAAGGGACAAACATTGTGCACAGAGGGAAAGATGGTACTTCCCAAGACATGAAGTTGCATAGTCTTGGGGATTCCAGAACAAGCTCTTTGGTGTTAAAGAACTGCTACACTTATGAGACCCTCTTGTAACCTTTTTTTATGCTTTTTTTTTTTAATGTACTGTGAGTAGTCTTTTACTGAAAGTGTGATACTTATGATTGATGCTGATTACATGGTTCCCTTCCACCAGGGTCTTTCAACATATTATTCCAGTAATTGTACTAAGGATGATGCTGAATTGGCACAAGAGTTCATGAAAGAAAAGGTTAGTTTTCAAGTTACCAATTAATGTAATTAAGAGGAATGAGAAGAAAACTCAGAAAAGTTTTTGTGATGATTCTTTCAGAGGTAAACATTAAATGTCATTCTGTAAATGTTTAAAAGTATGCCTAAAGAGTATTATTAAAGAAGAAAAAAAACATTTATTATCTGTTTTGGATAAAGTGGATTGAATTAAGGTGCACAGATGGTATAAGTTTTAATGAGCATGTGTGATTATTTTCATTGACAAGGATATAGAGACCTATAACACAAGATTATTTAAGGAGAAGAAAGATGGTCAGGTGACATACATTCTTCGCATAGCTTCAGTAGCAACAACCGGTGAGTTCACGTGAATGCTGCCTATAAGAATGCATATAATAATAGTTTTTACAACCATTGCTCTTACATGTAATTGTGTCTGTCTTTTGGTGGTGAACAGCACTTTCTGTTCCTTTCCCATTGGTGCTAAGTTTTCAGTAATCTCAATGTGGCAAGCTAGTCAAGAGCATACCCGAGAAGGGTCCTACAGGACATGTGACCTTTGAAAATTTTTCTTTAGTACTGGAAAATTCATGCTCTGTAGTTAAAGTCAAATAAGTTCCTGTTGTGGGACATTCTGCTGAGAATTCCTGATCCAGTATAATTAATATGCCTAGACTACATAATAATTGCAAATTTTTTTGTGATACATTTGATAATAGCAGAGCCATGTCCTGAGGCAGATGGAGAAGACAAAGTAGTAACAGTTTTGGGTTCTCATGAATTCAAAGGCTGCACCTTTAGGGTGGAGAGAGGAGACTATTCTGGTCTACTTAAAAGAGTTGTAGAAAATCTGGAGAAAGCTAAGGTATGAAGAAAGAATTTCCCCTGAGATAATGCTGCCTCACCAATAAATAATAACCGAATTACTGTCCAGCAAGAACATAGAAAGGTGGCTAAATGTAACTTAGACAAGGTAAATTGAGAAAATGCTGGCCAGCAGTTTCCCTCAGGATACAGGGTGGTCTACTAGCTTTATCAGGGGCCCATGTGATTTACAGCTCTCCTTTGAGGTCAGACCATATTGCTTGTGTCACAACTTGGGTGTGATTTTGTGTGAAGCCTTTTGCTAATGCGAGGACATGTCTGTTAAACACCTTGCATTTGCATCTCATTTCAGGAGTTTACTGCTAATGAAAATGAACTGTCCATGATAAAGAACTATATATACAGCTTCAACACAGGCTCCATTCAAGCCCATAAGGATGGCTCTAGGTACTGGATCAGAGACAAGGGACCCATTGTTGAAACGTAAGCAAACATTTTATTTTGTGATCAATTCCTTTTAGAGGACTCAACATTACTGGCATTGGCTGTTTTGTAGGAATTATATATGTCTATGCCAAGTGCCATTGAATTCAAGCTGGCATCTGTGGAACTTTGTGAGGGCTTTTCGGTGAAACAGCAAACTCTGTGGAGTTAAAAAAAAGGAAAGAAAATCATATGAAAATGAGGTATTAGCTATAGCGGAAATGTTTGTGTTGAAGTATGTTACTAGTAAATAATAATATTCTTTCAGTTACATAGGATTTATTGAGACATACAGAGACCCTTCTGGGGTGCGAGCAGAGTATGAAGGTAACACGAGACATAATTAAGTTTTTATTTTGTTAGTACCCATCTTGTGAATAACCTGCCTATAGCTGCTTAGCTTCCTTGTGTATCATCAGCCTTACTACAACACATACAATACCCACTTACTAAACATAACAAATCTGCATCTACACAGTTTATTTTATATGTAGTGTTAACTGAAATACGTAAATGTCCATCAGAGATGTCTTTTGCCTAGTGGCTTTCAACTGTTTCCCATATCAAGGTTACAATATTAATGACAGTATCATTACCACAAACTCAAAAACTGACTTGTTTAATCATTATTTGCAGGGTTTGTCTCAGTTGTTAACAAAGAAATGAGTGCCAAGTTTGCATCACTGGTGTCCAGTGCTGAGCAGTTGCTTCCTGAGCTGCCATGGCCTCCTGCATATGAGAAGGACAAATTTTTACGACCAGACTTCACTTCACTTGATGTGCTGGGCTTTGGAAGCAGTGGTATACCAGCTGGAATCAACATTCCTAATTGTAAGTCTCCTGCATCTATTAATTAGTTAATTTGGTTAGGCAGGGGATGTTAAAGAACCCACTCACGAGGTTACTGGGATGTGGTCTGGCCTGTTTACTGGGAATTTTGGGGAGAGGGGGCATCTTCAAATAAAGTTTCGTTTGATTGTTTGTAAACTGCTGATGCAGTCTGGCCAAAGTCCCCCAAAAAGTGTTGTGATGTGCATTTGATCATATCCACATGTTAATTTGCACAATATAAATATTAAATTAAATTATTAAGTCCAGATCAAATTCTTAGTTCTCTTCAAAGGTCAATATATAAAATCCTTCATACAAGCAAGGAGAGTAAACAGTTGTCAAGTTAAACTTAAAAGTGGTTAAAACTGAATGGTTAGACGAGGGTCATATGAAATAATTGTATAAAATGCATCTCTGCTGCTCTTTTTTTTTTATTTTAGATGATGACATTCGTCAAGAAGAAGGCTTTAAAAATGTGTCTTTAGGAAATGTACTGGCAGCTCAGTCAGTTGACAAGAAGGTCACTTTCTTAAGTGACGAGGATCAAGTGAGTTGAATCATGCAATGTTCCACTTTTTTCCAAGACTTACTACTGACAGTACTTGTCACCATTTTTATCAAGCTTGTCTGTAAAGTTTCAAAACTGAAGAGTATAAATCCATTCATTTTACATTTTTACTTTTATTTGGAGAATTAAATGGACTTCCTTTACACCTCTTTTGTTGTCACCAGAGTGCAGGACTATCATTGAATTGAGATTTAATTAATATCTCTTTTATTCCATATGATTGTAGGAACTGTTCACAAAGCTCAAAGCCGCATCCTTTGAAGTACAAGTTGGCCTCCATGAACTCTTGGGCCATGGAAGTGGCAAGCTCTTTGTTAAGGTGAGTCAGAGTGTTTAAACTGTCTGTGCAGTAACACAGAGTTTTTAGCAACATCTGGAATCTCATCTTACTTTCTTGTCCAAAGGTTGTTTATGCAGCTGAGTTTAGTTTGGTCTCTGGTGTAGCATTATATGCCCTTTTTTTTTTTTTTTTTTTTTTTTTTTTTTTTTTTTCAGAAAAATGATGGTACATATAATTTTGACATTGAAAGTGTGATGCACACAGAAACTGGAGAAAAGGTGTGATGGAAATTTCTCTTTGTCAGTGATACTTAGTTATTTTGAAGTCACAACCATCTGGGTCTACTGAAAATAATTGCCATTATTGTGGTTTCCAGATCTCCAGCTGGTATACTGACGGGGAGACCTGGTACACACGGTTTGCTGACTTGAGCTCATCATATGAAGAATGTCGTGCAGAGTGTGTGGGAATCTACCTGTGTACCTCTAAGGAAGTTCTCAGGTGACTGCCATGCATGTATTCTATCATGTTTAAAATATGTATTGCAATTCATGGGATTTTGATTGATTACATGATATGACACAACTGCCATGAGTTAAATTGAGCCAAACAGCCCAAGTTATTCCATGGCTCACAAATTTGGCAGAAACAAGGCATTTCCATTAAAGGATAATTGGAATTAACAATTGTGATCTCTGTTCCAATGCACACTGCCTTTAAAATAGGGCTCTACACTGTTATACCTGCAGGATATTTGGGCATGAAGGCACTGATGCTGATAATATAGTTTATATCAACTGGCTGAATATGGTCCGTGCAGGTCTGTTAGGGCTAGAATTTTATACTCCTGAGAATAACAAATGGCGTCAGGTATGTTAATATTACATAGAAGTTTGAATAAGTAAACAGGAAGTGTAATTCATGTGGCTAGTCAAGAGAAATTTGCTTTGACATCTTGCACTGCAAAGAATCAACAATGAAATTTGGGTGGTATGCTTGTCCCTATACGTTTTGGTGCTTATTGTTAGTTGGTATAAGCAATATCAACCAGTCTGCATACTTAGACAATTTTACACCATGACTTAAAAAACAGGGAACAACAGTGATGCCCCAGAGCTAATTCACCTCAACTGTTGTTTAGGATAGGCAAGTGTGTCCTCAGCCTAAGGGCAGTCTTAAAGATTTGTGAAATTTTTTGACAGCGCATTCTTGACTGCAGCCGAAATATTGTGTCATATATTCTACCTGGGAATAACTTCCATTGATCAAGTCTCCTAGTGCAACTGAATATTTTGTTATTGTAGGCTCACATGCAAGCACGATATGTCATTCTACAAGTGCTCCTTGAAGCAGGAGAAAAGCTGGTACAAGTGACCAGTATCGCAGGCTCAGATGGTAAACCAGATGTGTTGGTGACACTGGATAGGACAAAGATTGAATCCGTAGGAAGGCCAGCTATTGGAAACTTCCTCAGAAAACTACAGGTTTGTCATTGCACTGGTGTGCATTAACAGTTTTCTGTCCAAGTGTTTTTAATTAAAAGCAGACACTGTAGAATGCTCAGTGGGGGATGTAGTGGTTTCTCATGTGATCAAGGTGCTGGAATTTGCGTTGAGAACCTTAGTCCAGACACTGTAACTATAGAAGGCTGGCTAGCACTGCCCAAAGACAGGACACATAGTCAAACCACTCTTCTTTGTATTGATCTCTACTTTTATCTTCTATGAATCAAACTCTATCTCATTACAGGTGTACAAGTCAACAGCAGATTACAATGCTGGTAGAGCTTTGTATGATCGATACTCAGCTGTCAATGAGGAATTCTTAGCATTGCGCAAGACAGTTCTTGCAAGAAAGACTCCACGTAGGATGTTTGTTCAATGTCATACAAGCATTACAGGTAAGTTTGAGAAAATTTGTAGAGGGGAGTTTAACAATGTGCTCAATTCTACCTGAGTATTACACCAGGCTGGTGTGTTAATATTCAATCAAACATAAACATAATTTAAGGAGCCAGGGAAAGCTAATCTCTGCAGTTGCATTGGGAGATTGACTCAACCAAATTCTCAAGTGGTACTCGCACATGGAGTTGCTTACAAAGATTTCTTTGAAAAAGCTAGACCTGTTTTAGGTCCTAAAAGATGAGACCTATAAATGTTATCTATGCAAATGCTGCCCAACAATTAAACAGGCAAACTTCTATCCATTTATTTCCATAGGAGACAATGATGTTAGATTAACAGAATTTGAAGCAAGCCCTGCTGGGATGATCAAGTCATTCACAACTCGCTTTCCTGGAGAAGACAGTGTGTTGGAAGAGCTATGGAGAGCTGAGATGCCATACCACAAGTTATGATGACATAACATAAACCTCACCAGAAAAAATTCTCCTGGCTAAAACTTAATCTTGTGATTTCAATTGCACAGATACTAATATTGTCACCAACCTGCACAGCAGGCATAAACTAAATGGGAAAATTTTATGGGGTGGGGGGGTTGTTTCCTCCTTCTCCTTGCACATCTACCCCATCCCTCCACCCTTAAGTCCCCCTTTTTTTCTTAATTTATTTTTCCCATTCCCCATGTTTTCCTTGCTAAAAGTGCAACATTTCAACTTCTTTTCACCAAATTGTAATTTTGGCTAGTGTTGTCTAGTGTTCTTGTATGGCTACTCATGAATAAAACTGTGTTACTTTATTGCCTTTGAAACTGACTAAATTTTACTTTAAGTTATTGATTGTTAGCAGTTTTTTTTTTTTAAATTCCCTTCAACTCTAAAAGTTATCGAGTATTGTCGTCAGGAAGTGTAAACAAATGGTTGTGGGAGATGCATTTTAAAAGATGAGTGGCTTGTGGACTTCAGATTGGGGATGGAGTTCTGCAGAGGGCTTGTTTTTACCAAAGTCTCAGTGAGAGTAATATTATTACTGGAAAGGTCCCATCATAATAGCCAACTGTTATGATTGCATTTCAACAAATGAAATCTTGCATTTAATATGGGGTTCTCAAATGATACACTCAAAAGGAAATTGCAACATTTCTCAGTCTTCAACGTTAAATAGCATTTTGATTTTTTTGTCCACAGCATCTCTGGGTGTACTAACAACAGTACTGCTGCTAGTATTCCAACCCTCAAAGCACTGATTAATGTCACATCCAGCTCAGTACTGCTGCTAGTATTTCAACCCTCAAAGCACTGATTAATGTCACATCCAGCTCTTTAAGCTACTTTCATATAATTCTAAAATGACCTTCACAATTGTACAAAATATTCAGAAAAAGTTGATCTCTCTCAATATGATGCGAGATTGCATGTATATTATTCTCTCTTCTCTTGATTGCTTTTCTGGTGTTCGAGGAATTCTTGTGCCTCAGGAGGCAGCACAAAGTAGTCTGAGATTGATTCCAGCTCTGTTTGCTCTACTTTCATACTGACTCCCTCTGGTATGTTACGCTGAACATACTCAAGGAATACATCTGCTGTTTCTTGGGTTACATTCCTAACCTGTGAGAACAACAGTAAGATTATCAAAACTGCTTCACAGAGGGTCTTCAAAACAACTACCATTTGCCTTGTCACACAGCTCTTCCTCCATACAGGGTTGTGAGACAACAATATCAAATCTTATTACATTGTTTGCAGTGTTAGCGGGCAAGATGAAGTGAATCCTGTGTTCTCATTGACTATCCGAGCAGGTAAGATGGGTTCATCTTGCCCGCTTGGGATTGCCTGCATTGATCCTGCACATGAAAAAAAAATAGAATTAGAACTGTGTTCATAATTCTTGGACAATTTCAGCAATGGAAATGCAAAAAGTGGCAAAAGATAGTCATAACAAAGTAAACAGAAAGGACTCTCCTGAGTTTGTTGTACTACAAACCCAGTGGGCTTTCTATCCCAGCTCTCGAAGTAAACAAGTCACTGTTAATTCTAAATAAAGCAAAATCTTTTTGCAATATATTAAATGCATTAATATATTAACAGAAAGAGAGTGTCCTACATGATAAAGATAGCATGCAAATAATACCATGTCCTCAATTAAAAAAACTTTAAGGTTAATAATTAAGTAAATAAATGCAAACCTGTAACATGCGCCCATGTGTGCGAATCTCATACTGTGCTCTATGCTTTTTGAAAATGTGTGGTGATTTCAAAATTGTGTATCTTTCGATTGCTGTTGGTAGTAAAATTCTGCAAGAAATGCAAATTTTGTCCAAAAATTTACTACCCTGTCAGGGAAAGAGAGAGACAGACTGGACTCTTCATGCACACCTAAGTGAAAATTTAAAAATACTGATAAAAATTTACATAGCAGTTAAGCTGCATCAGGATAAAATTTTGATAAAGCCTTCAACTCTTTACTCCAATGATCTGATCATTAAAACAACAGATTTCGAGATTTTAAATTAATTTTGTACAGGGTGGCATCTCTGTATGCTGGCAGTTTTGTAGCTCACTGCCAAAACAAGTCACACAGTGTTTGTGACTTGTGAACCTTTTTTTCATGACTTTGAGCGTGGGCATTGAGTCAAGCATTGAAAATGAGAAATTTTGCAATAATGAGTAATTTAAGGCATTGATAATTGTTGAAGTCTTTGTAACAGTGCAGTGCATCTATTATGCGTAGTATAGGCAGTAATATCTGTTATGTGTAATACATACCTGTCAGAGATGTCAATGTCTAGATGTTTAGCAGCCATTGTCATAAACTTAGTGTAACTCCTTAACACGGCCTCATCACTTCCCTTGTATTTAATGTTTATCAGTGAGTACAGAGTTTCCTTTTGAGAGTTTGGAGTGTGCTGAAAAGACACACAACAAAGACAATAATTCAACTCTATTTAATGTTGTGATGGAGGTAGACATTAAACTTCATATTTATGTACAAAGATGAGTTTTCTGCTCTTAGAGGTATTTAAGTATTCTGTACCCAGAAAAATACTCACATGTCCAGAATCAGTTGAAAATTGTTTAGAATGAAGATGCTTGTTCCCTGAGAGAGATAATTAGAATTAAGACTTTTGTGACTTTTGTAATGCAATGTAAAGTTCTCCTGGTGTTTTCAAGGGAATAGAGACCTTTTAGAAGGAGATAAACACAGTCCATCACATTACTCTGGGTTTCAGAGTATGACACATGAACATCACTGGGCAAAAATAGCATCGTATGATACATGTCTCGCCTTTAGATGACTTTTTTCCCTAAAACATCACAGTATTTCTTAGAATTTACCTGCATGTAATGACTACATTGACAATTGAACAAGAATCTCACCATAGTTCCTTTCAGTACCCAGGAATCCTTTCCTCCTGTACGTAACAGATAAAGCAGACTGACTTACACATTTCTGGTGTGAAAAGTCAAATAATGTTTATATCATCAATCTTTATAGCTTTCCACGGCTTCAACTTAGTGCCCCAAGACTGCAGTCAAGATGATGTCAAACAAGTTATGTGTGCCCCATAACACAGATTGTATCCCATTTCACAGACACAAAGTGTAAACTGCTTTCCCTTTTGCAAACAGGTAATGCATCAGTCAGTGTGAACCCAGGGAATACGGGGAATTAGCAGGGACATAGTGGGGAAATGGTCAAGGATTAGACTCTTGGATTGGATGCTCTATCTGTGGTTTTAGCCTTGATTAGGATGTCAGTGTGAAACTTACCCGGGGATTGGGTAAGATAGATCGGGATACCTGTGTATAAGAGAACTGGGAATGAGTACGCCATTTTGTATGCCACAGATGCCATGTGCTAGCTTGCAGCAAGTTTCTTTCAAACAATACCTGAACAATATGCCATTAATAAAAGTTTGGGATTCCAAAAAAACAACCAGAAAGGTAGTTGTAATGCCAAAAATTTCAAAGACTTCTTGTAAAAGGTACTTTTACTCAAAATTCGTTTGTTTTCTGATAAACATTGGGTTCAATCCTTGAAAAGTGATTGAATTGAAAATGTATTTCCAAAGGCAATCTTAATGTTCTTGAAAATTCTAAACGTAAAAAAGTCTAACACAAATCAGAGCCAGAAAGTACAAAATCTTCAAGATTCTTCCAAATATTGATACCATGCATGTCATTTTGCTCACTCCAGCTTGTAACTTTAATAATTTCTCATGTATGTAAAAGTTTAAACTTTATATTCCATATTGTTACAGTAGCAAAATCAAAACTATGTCTTGGTTATGAAGTAAATGCCATTTTTTATGAAGATGGCACTGAAGTTGATGAGGAAGTATTCACTGTCATTAAAGATGGTGAAACTTTAAATAAAACTGTATTTGTAACAGATAAAGTTTTCTTTGAGTTTTCAACTTTGCCAGCTATAAACATTCTATCAACACTTAAACTTGTATTAGGAAAACTGCTTTCACTAAGCCTTGGGGCAGAGGTCGTTTACTGGGGATTAGACCGCTAAAAGTGCCTTGCATACCAAGGTATAGCAGGGCGTTAGTCCAACGTTAGGAAATCTTTCAAATCTAATCCCCCAGTATTCCCCGGGTAGTTAGGGGCAGGGATTCACACTGACTAGTGCTTAATTGGTGAACTGGAGAACTGGTTGAAGAGAAATGTTGGAAGGATTTCCGTATAACCCTATACCAATCAAAAACAAAGCCGTAATCTCAAAGGTAATCTGTTGTTTTGTATCTGCTTTCCTTTATCCAAGAATTGTATGCATAATGAAGTATGGGGTTATACGGAAATCTTGCAAAATGTTTTAATTCCAGCCTCAAAATTTTATTTCCATTTCATTAAATCACATACCTGTGTTGATGAAAAAGTCCAACGAGAGAAGTTTGACCAGCTAATTCTAATACCTGGGAAGTTATATCACAAGCAATAGATCAATGATGAGTTCATGACTGACTGATGAATGGTTTTATAACTATGGGATGGTCAAGCTAGGACAAATATCCACTGACACTTCTACAGAGAGAAAAATGGGAATAAGAAAAATTGCTATTTGAGAGTCATATGTTGAAAACTGACGAAAATATTCCCTAGTTATCACTTCTTAAAATTTTATCATGCGAATGTATAAATGGCTGCACGTGTACGTTTGTGTAATACACTGTACAGACTCTTAGACAATTCACAATTTCAAGAATTTGTAGACCTATTTATTTTGTTAGTTTTCGACAGAACGCGGTCGAACTTGGCCTTCCTACTCATTTCATAAAGCCCTTTCCAGCGGTGTTGATGTTATTTCGCTCAGTTAACGTCAAACTTGGGGAGGAAATTAACGTACACGGGTCTATCATCAATAAAATTTAAGTAGAATAAAATATAATAACTATTGCACCTCATTCTTTGAAGACAGGCAACCAGTGCTTGTTAATACAGGCTTTAAACTCCGTCCAAGGTTCATGCATCTGCATACACCAACAAATCGCAGCGCCGCCATTTTGAATTCAGTCATTGGTAACCACGCAATCTTTATCACAACCAAACTTCTGATTCGCTGAATTCTAACACTTTGGCAAAATTAGCCAATCAAATCTACTATTAGAAAGGTATTAGTGTTCATTCTCTCTCTAATAATGAAGCTTCAATATGGCGGACGAACGTGAGTTTTAAATCAATGAACTCGACCGGTTTGAGTAATCCTTACCAAGTACTTGGCGTTTCTGCAAACTCCAGCCACGAGGAAATTAAACGAACTTATCAAAGACTTGTTCTCAAGGTTTGAAAACTAATGGTTTGTGCTAATTATCAGTAAGGTTTGTTTTGACAAGCAAGGTCTGATCTTCTAGGTACACCCAGATAAATTGGACGGATCATTAAGTCAAGAAGATCGCGACAAGGCCTATGAGAGGTTTCTGGCCATTGACAAGGCTTGGAAAGTCCTAAATAACCAGGAAACAAGGGCAGACTGTGACAAGCAACTCAAAGGTGAGATAAACTAAGTTAAAAAAACAAGAAACAAAAAACAAAAAAAAAAGGAAGATTTAACGGCAATAATCAAACAT